GGAGGGACAGCGCAGGAGGGAAAGACCCTTGATGAGATGGATTGACTGGGGTAATGGAGGTTGGTGTGTCAGAGACCATGAGGTTTGTTCAGGATAGAGCAGGGTTCAGAGCTGTTGTATATAGGGTCGCAATGGCTCACAGACAACTTGATGGCACGTAACAACAATCGGTACAGATTAGTAAAAATGCTGGACTAAGTATCATAAATCTTATATTGACTATTAAGCAAATTCCTTTACTTCTTCCTCTTACCATCTCTCAAATGGCAGAAGGCCAGGAATAAATTATGTTCTTACTGATGTCTAGTGAGAAAAATATTATGCAGGTAAGCATGAACTATCAAATGAGACTCAAAAAAGTAGTAAACAGTCTTATGGTGTGGCATTGTGATAAAATCCAAGGTCTATGAAAGGACCACATTCTATATTTACATGTCTGCACATTAACACGTGCTTTTCTAGATCCATGTGGATACTTTACATTGAGGTTAATTCTTTACATTGATTTTAATTCTTCTAGAACTTTTTTCAAAGTGGATGCTGTCATTCTCAGTTCTGTAGTTAGTTGCAGTTGAGTTGACTCTGACTCACAGTGTCTCCATGTTTACAGAGCAGAAAGCCTGTCCTAGACAGTTGTAGAGGCTGTGACCCTTCACAAGCAGATTTCTAACCCATATTACAAGGTGCCATGGGTTCAAACCACCATTTTTTTTCATTTACTGGTGAAAACACTTACCTATTTTTGCTGTTTTCACTAGCTCATTGCCACTGAGCTTGAATCAATTCACAGCGGATGCTCTAAAGGTTTTCAAAGGTTGAAAATTGCACGGGAAGATATTGTCCCTCTTTATGCAATGAAGCCATGGACAGATTCAAACCACCAGAGAGGTGCTGCCTTTGGATTAGCATAGCATCTCCCTGTGGACCAGAGACTCCTGCTTTGTTGTTGCTGTTATTATCAGGTGTCATCAAGTCAACTACAACACTATGAACAGAAGATCTGAACTTTGCCTCTACTGCACTATCCCCAAGCCCATTGTGGCAGTTACTGTGTCAGTCTGACTCATGAGGGTCTTCCTCCCTTTCGCCAACCCCTCTACCTTTCCTATCATGATGTGTCTCTCTAAGGACTGATTCCTCTTGAAAATATGTCCAAAGGAAGTGAGATGAAGCTTCACCATTCTTGATTCTAAGGAATACTCTGGTTGTACTTCCTTACAACAAATGTGGAAGACAGCAACCTGGCCAACTGACTGAAAGACATCTGTATTTGTACCGTTTATTTACAACAAAGGTGATCCAACAGATGAATCAATAATTGGATGCCAATCATTAATGGAAATTATTATCACATGCAAGTAAAATTTTTCTGAAGGTTATTAAAAAACTGTTAGAACATTGACATGGAACTGCCAGAAACTCAAGCTGGATTCAGAAAAGGCCATGCATTGCCTTATCATTGGTGATGTCAGACAGATTTTGTCTGAAAGGAGAGAACACTAAAAAGAGATTTACTTGTTTTATTTGTTATGTGAAAGCATTTTATTGTGTGAACCATAACAAATTATGGCTAACGTTGAGAAGAATGAGTATCTCAAAACACTTAATTGTGCTCATATAACCCTTATACATAGACCAAGAAGAAGTTGTCTGAACAGACCAAGGGAATGCTGAATAATTTAAAATCAAGAAAGTTATACATCAGAGTTGTATTCTTTCACCACACCTATTTAATCTATATACTGAGAAAATAATTTGAGAGCCTCATCTTGTTGTTGTTGTTATATGCCATCAGGTCGACTATGACTCACAGAAACTCTGTACACAGTAGCTCTGAACTCTGTTATCCTGAGCCAATCTTATACTGTCTCTGACACACCTACCCTCATTACCCAGTTATTGTGTCAATCCATCTCATCCAAGTCTTCTTCTCCTTAGCTGTCCCTTGACACTTCCAAGCATGATATCCTTCTCTGAAGACTGGTATATCCTGGCTACAGGCCCAAAGTATAAGACAGAGTCTCAAAATCCTTGTTTCCATGGTTTTACCCTCTCTAGGATAGACCAGTTAGTTCTCTTGGCAGTCCATGTTCAATACTCTTCTCCAGGACCTCAACTCAAAGGCATCAATTATTCTTCTGTCATTCTTGGTCATTATCCAGCTCTCTGATATATAGCGAGTAATTGTGAAGAACATGGCCTTTATCAGGTGCACCTTAGTCTCTAGACTGACATCCTAGCTCTTCTGCACTCTGGATAAGTCCCTAATAGCAAATTTTCCTAATGCAATTTGTCTTGTGATTTCCTGACTGCTGGTGTGCCAAGAGTGTTGAGTTTGGAACCAAACAAACTGAAATTGTTAACAGTCTCAATCTCTTCTCCATCTAACATGATGCTGCCAATTGGCCCAGTGGTGAGAATCTTCGTTTTCTTGATGTTGAGCTTCAGTCCATATTGCAAACTACAGTCGTTGACCCTCTGCAACAAATGCTTCATCAGGTTCAGTAAGGTTGTGTCATCTGTATAATACAGGTTGTTGATGAGTCTTCCTCCAATTCTGATGTTACATTCCTCCTCTTAAAGACCAGCCTCTTGAATGAATTGTTCCGCATACAGATTGAAAAGGTATGGAGTCAGGACACATCCACGATGCATTCCTTTCCTGATTTTGAACCATGTAGTGTTTCAAATATTCTGTTCTGATGGCTGCTTTCTGGTCTAAGTAAAGGTTTTGTATGGGCATAATCCAGTGTTCTGGGATTCTCATTCTTATCAAAGGTTAGTCACAATTTGTTGTGATCCACTCTGTCAAATGCCTTTGCAGAGTCAATGAAAGACAGACAGACATTTCACTGGTACTCTCTGCTTTCAACTAAGATCCATCTGCCATTGGCTATGATGTCTCTAGTGCAACAAACTCTTCTAAATCCAGCTTGTATTTCTTGTAGTTCTCTGTTGATGTACTCTTCCAGACACTTTTGGATAATCTTCAGCAGGATTTTACTTGTGTGTGATCTTAGTGATACTGTTAGATAATTTCTATACTTTGTTAGACCACCTTTTATTGGAATGGAAATAAATATGGATCTCTCTCCCTGTCAGTTGGCCAGGTGGTTATTCTCCAGATTTTTTTTGGCATAGCCTAGTGAGCACTTTCAGGGCAGCATCTGTTTGTTGTAATATGTAATATTCCATCAGTTCCTGAGGACTTATTTTTTGCCAATTCCTTCAAAGCAGTTTTAACTTCCTCCTTTATCATCATTGCCTCTTGAACATAAGTTGTTTCATAAAATAATTCTGTGTCAGCCAGATATTTTTGGTGCGGTGACACTGTGTACTCGTCCTTCTTTTGAGGCTTCCTGGATCATTCAATATTTGCCCACAGCATCCTTAATATTGGTAAGCAAAAAACAAATTGTAAGTGAATTGAATGACACACTCGAAGGCACTCAAAATTAAAATTCATGTTTCCTGGCTTTGAAATAAAGCCTTCTCTACTACATGGAGCTATTAAAGCATGTTTGGTATGTACCCCAAATCCTATGACTCTAGATTTAGCCCCATTCCACTTCATGGAGGTACTCTACTCTATAAGTGGTAGGAGCCCTTTCATGGCACACATGATTTGTTGATGTTTGGTGGTTCAACTCTAACCAGAGGTACCTTGGAAGAGAGGTCTAGTGGCTTGCTACAGAAAGATCGCAACCATTGAAAACCTTATGGAGTACAGCTCTTCCCTAAAACACAAAAGGCAAGTGGTTCATAAGTAGTAGTTCTTGGTTTTGAAAAGGGATAAATTTTAGAACTTGGAAGAACCTATGGTTACTTAAAAAGGTATATAGAATTTCATTTTTCCAAGAACCCTCTTTAACTCATTGAGGCATTCTCTCATCTTCCTTCTCCTGTTACTCGAATCTCTTTCAAATTCAATTTTCTTTTTCTATTTTATTCTGGTTCATATATTCATTTCTCTATTCCTTTCACAAATCTAGTGGGAACTCTATTAGAACTTGAGTTCTCTTCAGGACTCTTCTGAGCTCCTTATTTCTCTTGCCACAATTCAAGGCACCAGTTGAAGCAATCTCATTTCATCTGAGAACCTCCATCTCTCCCTAAGTGATCTCTGACTCATCCTGACATGTCACACAAATGCCAAACAGAGGGACTGAGAATTTACCATAGAGAGTACAAGTGTGATGATTCAGTTTAATAGGTTTCAGAAACTATGGAAGATTTCCAAGGGTTGTGATTTTTATTCTGAGCACAGGAAAAAAAAACAAGACAGTCAGTACTACTGTACTTTCTCACACTGGACTCTGATTTGAAGTGGTAATTGGATTTGTGCTCGTTTTCCAGGTTCCGATGGAGGAGGCGGTTGCTGGTGATCTCTGCTCCTAATGATGAAGACTGGGCCTATTCACATCAGCTCTCTGCCCTCAGTGGTCAGGCATGCAATTTTGGTGAGTGGGAAGCCACGTCATTACTGCTTGCCCATACCACCCTCTTCCTGGTCAGTTTTAAAATGGAACACAGAAGCTTAGATCATCCAGACTGCAAATTCCCAGACACATACTGTATTATACTGAACATAAAGTTGCTCTCATAATGAAGCCTTAGTCAACTGTGGGGAACATGATTTCTTTTCTATTCTTGTAATGCTCCCCTTTCAGCTTCTTCAGTATTAGAAAAATAAGTCTTGAATGTTAAGTGATTTTTACTATTTGTCTTCTTTGTTTTTAAAAACATGTCCCAATGTGACAAAAGAGTTCTGTTTTACTTAAGTATCATTATCAATTGATTAATTCCTTTTAGAAAAGAAAATTGACTTGGAGAGTTAATATATCAAAATAAAACCACACAGTGTTATTGACATTTCTGAAAAAGAATTTTGATCTATCACTGAGTACAGAGAAGATAACAAGATAAACTGAACATAATATTTTTAAGATATATAAGTCAAAAGGAAATGTAAATTACTATATTTTTTATATCTTGAAAATTAACCCATGCTTTATGAGATATTATCTTCATGACTTAAAAGAGCTAATAATACACAGTTTATTTAGAAAAGAAAATATATAGTATACAGAAAATAAGTTCAGGATAAAATAGGGAGATAGAGCAGTTTAAAAATTAAAATTTATAAGTACAAGCTCATGTCTTTTTAGTGAAAAAAATATTGATAAAACTACTAGAGGAAGACACACAGACACACTCATTTTTACATACTCACAACTCTAACTACTATCGAGTTGAGTTGCTTCTGAGTCATAGGGGCCCCCATTGAGGTTTTGCGGCTGTGAATTGCAAAAGAAGTAGACTTGCCATGTTTCTTTCACAAAGTGGTTTGTAGATTCGACTCTTAGAGACACGCTGCCTTTGGATTAGCAGTGCAATTTGCTATAAACTAAGGTACCAAGACTCTATATAGATATGTCACAGACTAAAACATTTATAGTTGTAGTATGGATTTCTCAGCATTATTTTGATACTCCCATTAGAAAAGGGAGTCACCTATTAGTTATAAAATTGTGCAAGACTGAAAACAAATTAAGGTAGAGGATACATTTTTATAAGCAATAACAGAACCTGGCACTTTGCAGTGATGTAATACTTGTAAATTATAAATGCATTTCCATTTTGAAGTGTTAAATAATAACACAAGTGAAGGGGAGCAGAAATCAAATTCCTAACAGTAAGAACAACTAGAAAATTCATTACGTTTTTATTTAGAATCCCATTATAAAGGTTAATAATTTAAGATGTTACATAAGATTTGACTGTGCCAGGATTTGTCTATTTTAAATAATTTATGGTTACTAATGGTGCTAAATAGCAAAAATTCTTGGATCAGCTAAAATAACGGTGTGCTAATTTTAGGGCTTCAAACCAACTCTTTCGAGTTCAGTTATAGCCAACAAAATGAAACTGGATTGGGCTCAGGGTTATAGAATGTGGGTTTACTTGAATGATAACTATTATTGTTGTGTTGTTATGTGCCATTGAGCTGGAACTGACTCAGAGCTGACTTTTCAGCAGGTTTTTAAAGGCTGTAAATCGCATGTTGTTGTTGTTAGTGCTGTTGAGTCATAGGCGACTCATAGCGGCCCTATGAACGACAGACCTGGACACTTAAGTGTAACTTCCATCCTTTCTCCAAGTTCATAGGGTTTCCGGAGGCTAGCTATTTTAAAAATAGATGCCATTCCTGCTTCTCCATCTTTCTCTCATGGAATGGCTGGTGGATTCGAACTGTATGCCTTTACACTGGCAGTGCTCTCCTTACCACAAGGCCACCAGAGCTCGATGAATAATAACTAGAACTGGAAAAAAATTATGCCTTGAAACCCTGCTAGAAAATCTCTCTTTTAGAAAAAAAGAGCAACATGCTTGTTGAATAGGAACCAAATCTCTTGACTGAGTTGGAAACAACAATATTCTGCTCAAAGCTGGTGGATGTCTATGCCATTTTGATATGTATCTTCCTCCATATCTGTAGCAATAATTCCCTCTCCCATATCAGGCTCCTGAAAAGATTCACTACACCTTTTCAAGTTTTCTATTCTAGGACTTCAGCCTGTAATTTGACCCATTCCAGTGATCACTCTGGTGTGCCCGCATTTTACAGCTTCAGATCATTCCAATTTCACTGGATCAGCCATGACTCATTTTCACCAATTGGAAGCCCTGGTTAATTTCTCTGCACACAGACCTGAATTACATCAGTGTCTGCAAACCCTTTTGTAATATATAGGAAGGTTTCCAGGAATAATGAAATTCCTGATCTTTCCTTTCTAACATATGACTCATCAACACTTAGAATAAAATTTTTTACTTTTTCTGTGGGATAAGAGTAAAGACCAAAAAATTTTAATAGATTTTTGCCTGGATTTCTGGATTTTAGCTCCTACAAAAGAACACACTCATAGCAGCTTTTAGTTTTTTCCTCAGAACAATAAACACCATCTATATTCATGTTATTATTTCCAATATTAATCTTATTAATAATAATTATTATTACCTTGGTGGTGTTATGTGCTATCGGGTCAATTACAAATCATAGTGACCCTGTTAACAATGGTTCTGACCCTTGCCCTATCCTGAGCCAACCTCATCCTCTCTGACATACCTGACCCCGTGGCCACAGTCGCGGTGCAAATTCAACTCATCCAGAGCCTTCCCCTCCTGTTCTGTCCCTCCATTCTTCCAATCATGATGTCCTTCTCCAAGAATTGGCCCCTACTGACAGCATGTCCAAAATATGAGATGGAGCTTTAAAATCCTTGCCTCCAAGGAGCAACCTGGTTTCACCCTCTCTAGGACAGACCTCTTTGTTTTCTTGGTAGTCAGTCCATAGTTGGGGGCCTTGTAATTCTATCTAAAAATTATAAATATTTATATAATGATTTAGCTGCTCCTGTTTCCAATTTTCTGCTTTCGTTAATTTTTTTGTGCACACTTCATCATCAGAAGAATTCTAACATGCTAACAAGGACTGGCCTTCTCCATTTTTCTGAAGCTTTAGCTGAGGATATGAAGTCATATACTTCCCCTTTGGTTCTTCCAAAGGAGTTATAATAACCTGCCGTTTAACACAGCAAACTCTTGTTTGATAAAGTCCTGAACTTTAACAATGGATATAATCTACATCATTTTATCCAAGAGAAATGTTTTGTTCATGAGAGTTCTTGTGGATTCACATTCACCTTTTAAATTCTAGAGTGCTAATCAACCTGGAGCTCTGGTTGCATAATTCATAAAGCATTGCACTGCCAATCCAAAGGAAGTGCTTCTCCAGCAGTTCAAATCCACCAGGTGCCAGATAAAGATAGGTAATCCCTTCCTGTGTGATTTACAACGTTCAAAAACCTGCTTGGAGGGTCAATCATCTTAGATATTTTAATGCTCCAATTACTTCACTTTTGTTTTTTAACAGAATGAGAATCACAATTTAAAAGTAAAATCTTACATATGAATTTAGAAAACAAATAATTTTACCCTATTTTTTTCATCCTAAAACTTACAATTTATCTTCTTTCAAAGTTTTACAGTTTTAAAATTTTTTTACAAAATAATTTTAAAATGAAATGACTCTGTTTAGGTTGTATATTATGTGCTTTTAAACTTAGGGACTTTTGATCGTTAGAATTCAGATCCTTGGAAGAGAAAGATGACTGAGAATTATTTACCTTAATTGTATGGTATTTCTCATCTCTCAGGTCTACGCCACATAACCATTCTGAAGCTATTAGGCACTGGCGAGGAAGTTGGAGGAGTTTTAGAATTGTTCCCAATTAACGGTAACGTATTGTTATTTTAAAATAGTACAAAGCAGTGTTAAATTCCGTTACATTATATTCAGCTATAAGTAGGCAGTGAGTGTACCTCTAGGGTGAACAATACCCATTGAGTACCCATTCTTATATTGTGTGTGTTTGTACATGGGGGCTTAGAGGCAGAGGATAGGATGACAGAGAGTAAGACTAATATTTTTCCAGTATAAAATTCCTTAAAATGACCTGAATAGCAATTTTTCCATTATATGGTTTGTAAAACATTTTATCTTTAGCCTCATTTAATTCTTAATTTCTTTCATTTAAATCTGTAATCTCATTTAATAGTTTTGTGAGGTAATAGGTCAAATCTCAATTTATTCCCTTTCAGTGGATGAGGACATAAGCTAAAGGCTCAGGGAAGCAGAAAGAAACTCACAGGAGACTGAAAGTTTCAGAAAAAGCGAGCAACATCTTTGCATGAGAGAATTTCTATAAATGAGAGCCAGGAAGCGGCATCATCCTCACAACATCCAGTTTTGTAATTTCCCCAATCATGGTCTCAATACATTTGGTTAGTTTGTCTTTAATTGAATCTTCTACCTTTCACTATAAAATAAGTATCACAGATAAAACTGTAGTTGAAAAAATGAAAGCTACTAAGCTGACTGGAAATAAATTTAGAAGTAAAAACAATATAATCTCTGCTAGGTTAAGGATTTGTTTTCTATTTTTGCGGCATTCCTACAACTTTAGGGCTATCATGTGCCTCAAAGTGTGATATTAATAATATTGTAGAAGAGCAGAACTATTTCATGCCTAGCAGGAAGAAAAGCATCATATTTGATTCTGGAGAAAAGAGTTACTGACTCTTTTTTCGATTCTGATGGTAACTTCCACTTACTTTGATGTTTCCCTGGTTTGTTCCTTTAATCCACTAAGAAATGATTCCTTTCCTATTGTAGGGAGCTCTGTTGTTGATCGAGAAGATGTACCTGCTCACTTGGTGAAAGACATACGCAACTACTTTCAAGTGAGTCCAGAGTACTTTTCCATGCTTCTCGTTGGAAAAGATGGAAATGTCAAGTCCTGGTATCCTTCCCCAGTGTGGTCCATGGTGATTGTGTATGATTTAATCGATTCAATGCAACTTCGGAGACAAGAAATGGCCATTCAGCAGTCACTGGGGATGCGCTGCCCAGAAGATGAATATGCCGGCTATGGTTATCCTAGTTACCATCAAGGATACCAAGATGGTTACCAAGATGACTACCGTCATCATGAAAGTTACCACCATGGATACCCTTACTGAAGAGAAATATGTAACCCTTGCCCCAGTCACAGCTCCCTGCAGTTGCTGAAGCCACATGTGGCCAGATACGTACAGGAGTTCTTCCACAACGCCTACATTCCCTGCCTTTTTCTTTCCGTGTTCTTCTAAGACTAAATAAATAGCAACCTTTTGCCTACCATGACTTGTTTTTAAAGCTTTAAATCATAAAGATGTTTAACAGAATTGTTTCTTTCTCTAACTGGAAGCTGTTTGGTGCTAATTGATCTGAAAACTGTGGGGTGTTTTTTCTTATAATGGACATTATTTAGTAGGAAAATACTAAAAAAAAATCAGCATGTTATGCCTCTGTTTTGTTTTTCTTTATGATTTATTGCTAACTGAAAAATAGGATTGTTAAAGAAAATGAATCAAAAAGCCTAGCACAGATGTTTTCAGGAACGGTGAATGAGAAAACAATTTCTTAACACCTTTGAAAAGTAAGAGGTCTTTCAGAGAGAGACACTGCTTTTAAATACCCTGAAATCCTGTGTTCTAGTTGTTGTTAGATGCCATGGCTCTCACAGCAACCCCCTTCACAACAGAAAGCAATCCTGCCGTCTGCTACGCCATCGTGCTCCTCTTTCTTTCTGCCCATTGTAGCAGTCACTATCCCAGTCCATCTCGATGAAGAACTTCCTATCTTTGCTGACCTTTTTCTGCTTTTCAAAGTGCAATGTCCTTTTCCCAGGAAATAGTCTCTTGATAATACACCCAGAGTATTTGAGACAAACTCTCGCTTCACTTTTTCCAAGACAATTAATTATCTTGGCAATTTATTATATTTATGACTAGTTAGAATATATTATGTATATTCAATGTTATTATTAATCAACATCAAATTCAAACACATACATTCTTTGATCTTTATTGTGTAATTTTTGAAAAATTTCTTTTTTGAAATAAAATTTTTATTTTATACTGGTTTACTTACAAAGTTCATATATATTGTTTTTCACACTGGATTTTTCCCAATTTCTTTACCCATCCCTCCCTCTACCCATCAAATTGTGTGACCCTATGATTACTGCCCTGACCATCCTTGCCCCTCTGTTCCTCCCCTCCCCTCCTTGGATCTTCATACACGTTTTACTAGTTATCTTTCTATTTCTACATTAATGGTCTTATACAGTATTTCTCCTTATAGGACTGAGTTAGTAGTTCACTCAGTATAATGCTCTCCAGTCCCTCCCAAGTTAGGTAGTGATTTTCAAAATCATTGCTCCTGCATGCTCTGTAGTATTCCATCGTGTGAATGTATCATGATGTCTCAATCCATTCGTTTGTGGTTGGATCTTTGGGCTGTTTCCATGTTCTTGCAATGGTGAATAATACTGCGATGAGCATTGGTGTACAAATCTCCATTTGTACATCAGCTTTCATTTTCTCAGAGTTTATCCATTCTGTGGAATAGCTAGGTCATATGGAATTTCTTTGTTCAGTTTTTAAGGACATGCCAAACTGCCTTCCAGAGTGGTTGTACCACTTTACAATCCCACCAATGGTGTCTAAGAGTTCTTATCTCTTTACTTCCTCTCCAACATTTATTACTTGCTGTCCTGTTAAATTTTGCCACTGGTACTGGGGTAATATGGTATCTTATTGAGGTTTTACTTACATATGAATTAACTGAAAATATTTTTGCTTGGATGCAGTGCACCTTAGTCTTTAAAATGATAGCCTTAAAAAAATAAATAAAATTATACTCTTGTTCTTTAGTGATTTAAAAGGTTTGGCCACAGATTTTTCCCATTGTCACGTGTCATTTTATTTCTTGCCTGCTGATTCCAAGGGTGTTGATTGTGCATCCAAGTAAAATGTTCTTGGCAACTTCAGTCTTTTCTCCATTTATCATGATGTTTTTATTGGTTTCAAATCCTGTACCTGGAAAAATACAATTCTCAGTCTAAAAATAATGGAGATAATTCTATTTTGTATTGTGTTTATTTCATAAAGCTGATGGCACAAGAGTCCATTAATATTGGCAACTAAAAGCTAAAGAAAGGACCACACCCAGTTTTGCCACCACTCTGATTTCCTACTCTGTTTCTGAAGTGTCTATTCAGACATATACATTAGAAGACCAGAAAAAGGAATATCAAAAGCCTTACTAGGGAGCTCTGGTGGCCTACTGGCAAGAAGCTGTGCTGCAATCCCAAAGGCACATGGTTCAAGCCATCAACTTCTCTGTGGGAGAAGGATAGGCTCTCCCGAGGGTCAGCTATAGGTCAGTTCCAACTCAATGGTACACCACAACAATACAAATCCTTCCTAGACTCTGACACTGCCACAAGATCTGACTATACTTCCAGAGCCCCTTCCAAAATCCTATGTTGTTATTATTGTTATGTGCTGTTGAGTCACTTGCGACTCATAGCAACCCTATGTACAACAGCCCTAAACTCCGCTCTGTCCTGTGCCAATCACACTGTCTCCGATTATACCCATCCCTATTATCCCAGTCACTAAATCAATCCACCTCAAAGAGGGCCTTCTCCTCCTGCGTTGTCCCTCCACCCTCCCAAGCATGATGGCCCTCTCCAAGGACCTGTCCCTCCTTACAACATGTCCAAAGTATGTTAGACGAAGCCTCAGAATCCTTGCCTCAAAGGAGGTGTGAAACTAGGCCAGGAGCTGATTGTGGAACAGACCGCCAACTACTCATATGCAAGTTCAAGCTGAAGCTGAGGAAAATTAAAACAAATGCACAGGAACCAAAATATGACTTTGTGTCTATCCCACCTGAATTTCTGAACCATCTCAGGAACAGGTTTGAGGCCTTGAACACTAATGAGTGAAGACAAGATGAGCTGTGGGAGGATATCAAGGGTATCATCCAGGAAGAGTGCAAACAGTCATTGCAAAGACAGAAGAGGAAGAAAAGACCAAAATGGATGTCAGAAGAGACTCTGAATATTGCACCTGAGTGCAGAGAAGCCAAAGCAGAAGGAAGAATTCAAGACACTAAAGAGCTGAACAGAAGATTTCAAAAGGCAGCGCGGGATGACATAGTAAAATATTACAATGAAATGTGCAAGGAGTTGGAGTCAGAAAATTGAAAGGGCCGAACTCGCTCAGCATTTCTTAAGCTCAAGGAACTGAAGAACAAATTCAAACCTCGAGTTGCTGTAATCAAGGATGCTTTAGGCAGAATATTTAATGATCCAGGAAGTATTAAAAGAAGATGGAAAGATGGCCCATTACCCCAGTCAATGAATCAATCCACCTCATAGAGGGACTTCCCCTCCTGCGCTGTCCCTCCACCCTACCAAGCATGATATCCCTCTCCAGGGACCAGTCCCTGCTTACAATATGTCCAAAGTATGTCAGACAGAGCTTCAGAATCCTTGCCTCCAAGGAGCGAGCCGCCCAGTTTAACCCTTTCCAGGATGAATCTGTTTGTTTTCCCAGCAGTCCATGGTACCCTCAATACTATTCTCCAGCATCACAGCTCAAAGGCATCAATTAATCGAGTAGTCAAAGGTGGGTGATTTTAATCTACAACCCTCAGGCTTGGTTTTGTTTTTAGTCCAACATTCTTCTAAATGGTCTGTCCATTTGCTGTACAAAGGTAACTCATGGTTGCTCTGATGCTAAATACTATGACACTGATGCATCAAATATGATAATGGTTGCCCATGGTAGACAGAGTTTGGTGGAGCTCCCTGATTAAAATAAGCTTGGAAGCAGGAGTGGTATCCACTTCTGAAATAGTCTCCCTCCGGAAACTCTGTGAACTTGGAGAAACAATGAAAGTTATACAATTGTTCAGGTCTTTCATTCCTAGGGTCGCTATGAGTCATCTATGACTTGACGGCACTTAACAACAACAACAACAACAACGACAACAATAGTAATAACAGGCTAGCTCTTGCAATCAGACACTCAATACTTTCAAATCTGAAAATACTTTTCCAAACATGCCTGTGGTTTCACTACAACTGAGTTAATTACCAATAATGCACCTGAACCCTTCTTATTTGACTGAGTTGGTTAAGAAGTCATGCTGTCATTATCTGCAGTGCTGTAAAACAAGCCACAACTCAACAAAGCCTCTGGGGCCCACTCAGAAGGAGACAATACTGGTTATTGGCCTCAAATTCTGTAGTCTAGAAAAATGAAATTTACACCACAGGAAAAGGGGAGATTAGAGAATTAGCTAACAGAATCTCTGACTTTGGGGTTTTATTAAAAAAAATAAAAAGGTAGCTTGAAATAGGAGTTTTACCTTCTGTCATTAAATATTTCCTTCAGAAAATGAAAAAGATAGTAAGTAAAATTGCATTTTTGCTAAGGATAATGACATTTTTGTTTGGGGAAAGAAAAGTTCTGAGTAGATGTGAGGTAGTGTAGAAAGGCATAGCTTTGTTGCTGTTGCTAGTTCTCCCAATTCCTTCCCATCTATTTCCAAGGACTGCTCTTCACTTGAGCTCTCCCAGGGTTATATGCCGTTATTGTTAGGTGCCATCAAGTCAACTACAACTGATAATGACCTTACGAGCAACATATCTGAACCTTGCCCTATACTGCACTATTGTTATGATCTCTTGTTATGTTCAACCCCATTGTAGTAGTCACTGCACCAAGCCTTCTCATTGAGAATCTTCCATTCTTTCGCCGATCTCTCTCCCATTCAGTATATCTCCTCCACGGACCAGTTCCTCTTGAAAATATGCCCTAACTAATCTCAGTAAACTTCATCTCAGAAGTTTCTCCATTCATGCAACCACCTTGGTTACATTTCATTCAAGGCAGATCTGTTTGTTCTTTTGGAAGTCCGTAACATATTTGTAATACTCCTCGCCAACACAGAATTCAAAGAAATCCACTCTTCTTTGATCTTCCTTATTAATTGTCCAAGCTTCTGATATATCGAAAGTAATAAGTGAATTATTAATTCAGCAAGGGTCAGATGCAATGGAGTTAGCAGAACCCAACTAGTCTCATCCCCTGGAGAATATTAATAATGGAAACATGTGTCTTCAACATCTAGAAGATATGAAGATAAAAATACCTCAAGACCAGGATGGATGATGGCCTCAGCAGGAAGAATGGGTCCGTCATTAAGCATCTCAAATCTTAACATGTGGAGATTCCAGAAAAATAGTAACCTCCTGGAACGGACTGTCTGCTTATCTC